GTTTACCTAGACATTGGAAGTCCCAAAATGTGACATCTCTCAGAGAAGTTTTTAATTTGATTCTAGAAAACAAGGCACATGAATTATCACACAGAGCCAATATGCATGGTTTCCCAATACTAAAATATAATTGGGATAAATGGGAAGAAAAAAATCAAAAAACAGTTTATGGTCTTTGATATATTTATTGTTAAAGTGCACTGATGTACAAAAATTTTTTGCCATATACTTTATTATGTTTATTTCAATGATGGATGGATACCCCTTCCCATTTCCAAGTTACCCTTCCATTCCTTCCCCTAATACAATGTTTGTATTACTATCATTTGTTATACAAAAATTTTAAAAACTTTAATAAAAATTATTTGAAAAGAAAAGTTTGAAGTTTATCAAAGTGAGATGAAAACAATGGTTCTCCATGGTTCTCCCTCACGCCCTCCTTGTGTTATACGTGAAAAGCCCCCTCTAGGATGTATGAATGGAAGCTGGGGTGCTGCACTTAAAAGCAGCATTATTATAAAGCGAGAAAGATTGGAAACTCGGTTACCCTCTAAAATACGTCAACAAGCGGACTTGTTTTAGGGGCTTGGAGTGTTCCTTTAAGGGAAACTGCTGCAAAGATTTGGGTAATTTTGAGAAAACCCTTCGTGTTAACAGAAGATCCACCTGAGGATACACAGCGCAAACATCCAAAGTCTGTAACCTGGAGTTTCTCACGCAAAGAGACAGCACATCACAGAGAACTTATAGTCTAAACAATTCTCTTTGAACTCGTGCGGAGTGTCTGTGGACTGTGTGATGCCTCAAATTATCTTAAATAAGACAGAAGACTGATAACCCTTACCGAAGAACTATCAGCACATATTACAGATCTTGGAGATTCTATAAAAACATTTCAGAAAGGTATGTCTTAAGGCAAGTGCTGAGATAGCCCAGCTGTCTATATTTCCAGCTGTTGAATCTGAAAAGGTTCAAGTCAGATCAACGCAGTCCTGCTTCCTTCTACAGTCAATAAAATTAGCCTAATTCACCAATAATCACATCTTTATTTTCAATATTGTTTTTTTGCATTTTTGAAAGTGCCTTTATCCACAGTACATGTCATTAAGGTTCCTGATCATTGTGTTGTGTCCTTGCCTGATGTCCTCCTTCCTTCAGCCCTTTATAAGTCAGCTGGTCTCCATTCAATGCACGCACTACCGAGCGGAGGTACCGAGGTGATGTGAGTTATTAGGTTGGCAAACAAACAAACACCTAGAGAAATGGCGTGATCCTTCCTGTTTCTGGTTATCCATAAGAAAAATCCTCTGGGAGGACAGGTTATGACCCACCTTGCTATCTCTGCTACCTGTGACACTGCCCACTCAGCACCCACCTGGCACCAAGGATACAGTCGGCCAGTGCCCATCTGGTACCTGAAATATGGCTCGCCCAGCCCCCGCCTGCTACCTGTTACATGGTCTGCCCAGCGCCACCGGCTACCTGTCACACCACCCACCCAATGCCCACCTGTTACCTGTGACATGGCCCACCCAATGCCCACCTGTTACCTGTAACATGGTCTGCCAGCGCCATCTGCTACCTGTGACATGGCCCACCAAATGCCCACCTGTTACCTGACATGGCCCGCCCTGCGCCTGCCTGTAACATGGTCTGCCCAGCACCACCTACCTGTGACACAGCCCACCTAATGCACATCTGTTACCTGTGACACAATCCACCCAACGCCCACCTGTTACCTGTGACACGGCCCACCCAGGGACCCACCTAAAGGACAGCCTATATGTCTTGGTAATAGAGCGGGTTAAGCCGATTAATTCCTGATAAACGCTAGAATGTCTGAAAATATTTTTTGTCACAAACTATGATAAGATTACATTCTAGAAAGAGTAAGATTCATATAACACGAAATAAATGAACATTTATATAGCGCCAACATATTGCACAGTGCTTTACAATTCTACAATAGGAATATTAGACAAGTAATTGATATAAAAATTAAGGGTGAAGAAGGCCCCGTAAAATCAAGCTAAAATGATAAACGTAGCAATTTTACAAAAAGCTTTGAGTGATTGTAAAGCCAGTACATGATCTTGGCGTAGTGTGCGCCGAGGCAGTATGTCGGACTGAGCTGATATGAGCAGTCATTAAAACCCAGCCTCCACAGTAACACAATAGCTGCTTCTGTTCCAGATAAAATGTAGCATTTTTTGAAATGCTGAGCTTTTTTGTAATGTTTCCAATACATTTGTGGGAAAAAAATTGGGGAGGAGAGAGGCAAAGGAATGTTTGGCAAAAAATGTGAATTCCAGACAGACAGAGGCAGCTGTCCCTCTTATGACATAACCTCTTCTGGGCTTAAGGATGGGTGAAGAGGGAATTTACAAAACAGGATTAATGTTAGGATTGGATATACACATTGTACCCACTAACATTATAAAGACTAACTTCTAGTAAAATGAATCAAAAACATGGAACTAAAAATTGCTGATTGGGATGAAATCCTTATTCTGCTACAGACACAGGTTGCCCATATGTCCTTAAAGGTACACTCCAAACCCCTAAAGCAACTCTGATTGCTTATATGTGCAGAGTGTGTCCTCTTTTTCATTTTACAAAAAGTGCAGATTTCAATAAAAACTATAAATTAATCTGGTTACACTCCCTGGCTGTCAATCAGACAGCCTCTCCTGTTACTTCCTGGTTTGGTTAGCTCAGTGAAGATAAACTCAAGATGCAGGAATTGCTCAGAGCAGCTGACTTGCAAAGACCTCTCATTGAGTTACATTGGGAAGCCTGTGTGTGACGGTAGTAATCTGTATCACTGTCAAGTATTCCCTTCTTCCCATAAAAGAGAATCACTAAGTAATCCACGAGTAGAAATATCCCTGGAATCGCCGAATAATCCACACATGAGCCAAAGCTTAATGCTGGAACAAGTCTGATTTACTGGCACACAGAACTCACAATTTATGCAACACAAAACTCCTCCTCTGGGCCAGGCTAGATAATTGAGTTTCTACAATACACAAAGCTCAATTATCTGCTGGCCAGAAACATTACAGTTTTTTTTAACAATTTCAGTAACATACTTTTTACAAGACATACAAACATAATTTTACCATCCCTGGGTAGCTGAGGATACTGGTAGTCATATATCCAAATCTCACGAATTTCCGTTTGGTAGTTTCCGTGTCACATCGTGTGGAAGTTTAAATGGCTCGCCATGTGGAGGTATCAGAGTTAGAGTTCCATAGAATCAGTAGCAAGAGCCGGTCTCCGTTCGGATCGAACTACATGAAAACTACTGTTCATATGGTGCAGCTGGTTACATGTGAATGTTCCCCTCATTCGGTAGATTCTATCTACCGAATGCCAGTTTGATTCGTGGAGGGGAACGTATTCCTCCAGGACTTCCATGGGGACTGGGCGTTCGCATGTTTGCCGTGCCGAAAATAGTTCCAGGCAATTCATGCGTAAGCCCCGCTGATCGCATTTGTGAGTTTTAAGATGGCCGCCATCCTTTGTTCTCGCCACGTGTTCGTATGCCGAATGGCAGCCACCTAGTAGCAATTAAGTCGTGGTTTTCTCTGCGTTCCAATGCTGATTGCTACTCAGGGTGGGTGGTCTCTGTTCGGTAAACGAATACATTCATTCAATACATAGTGAAATGAACTGATACAGGCATTTAAGTACATGAAAATCCTTCACACTGTGATTGGACGGTCACAGAAAGTCTGGGCGAGGTTAGGAGGGGAGGGCTTGCAAAGGCTGCAGACAAGAGATCTGCCATTTTTACAAGCTGTTTTTAGATATAACTCCAATGAAAAATAAAACGTACAATTAAATGCATGTATGCATTCATTGGAGTATATCTACTTAATAGTTTCCAGTTTCGATTTGGTGTTTAGCGAATAAGCCCCTATACCTGTGTGTTTATAAAGGGATGTATTTGTTAAACAATGAATATGTTAGTGTTTGGTGAATTCAGTTGTTAGCGTCTTACACAAGAAGTCTTAATTTCAGGGCTTATTCACTAAGAAGTTGACTATGGTGATTAAACAAACACCATGCACAAAAATGAAAATAATAAATCTTCATGAAGTGGTTTTGTGCACAGATAACACTCCCTTCCTCTGCAATGTTTATATTTTGTGGAGAACATGCCTGTAGTGTGTCAGACAGCATCAAGTTGGAAGATTTAGACAAATACAGCTGAAAAACATGGGAAGCCATTTCCATTACCCCGGCAGGGATTGCTGAGGGGGACAGTACTCTCGGAGAGAAATTGGTTTGGGTGAAAACCAGCGCTGAAGCAAAGGGAAAAGTAGAGAGTGCTTAGTTTAATTTTGAACTGTGATGCATTGAACAATAGAATAAGCCTCTATATACGCAGGGTGGGAAATAGAAATCATTTTTATTTATTTTTTTAAAGCAGAATTTAACGAAATGCAATGCTCAGATTTTAAAGGAGAACACATCACTCCATTCACACAAATTAAAGCAAAATATGATGTCACACATTCCTCTGTAATGGGCTTCCCATACACCGTGCAGCTGGACAGCAACAGGAGATTGTACGTCTGTTATT